CAGCACAGGAACAAGTGGCTTTTAATTTGGTGATTTAATGAATACACTGAACACAAGGCCTCTTGTAAACCCAGGGCCCAGCTGTGACTGGATTGAAAACTAGCTCTCGCTCATAGCTATTACCGGGGACTGGTGTGCTCTGCAGAGGTAGCCATTACCAGGGGCCAGTATGTTCTGCACAGGTAGCCATTAACAGGGGCTGGTAGTAGCCATTACCAGGGGCTGGTCTGCTCTGCACAGGTAGCCATTACCAGGGGGTGGTGTGCTCTGCACAGGTAGCCATTACCAGGGGCTGGTTGTAGCCAGTACCAGGGGCCAGTGTGCTCTGCACATGTAGCCATTACCAGGGGCTGGTGGGCTCAGCACTGGTAGCCATTACCAGGGCCGGCGTGCACTGCTCAGGTAGCCAATACCAGGGGCTGGTGTGCTCTGCACAGGTAGCCATTACTAGGGGTCGGTGTGCGCTGCACAGGTAGCCATTACCAGGGGCTGGTGGGCTCTGCACTGGTAGCCATTACCAGGGGGTGGTGGGCTCTGCACAGGTAGCCATTGACAGGCGCTGGTAGTAGCCATTACCAGGGGCTGGTCCTAGCCATTACCAGGGGCCAGTGTGCTCTGCACATGTAGCCATTACCAAGGGCTGGTGGGCTCTGCACTGGTAGCCATTACCAGGGGCCGGTGTGCGCTACACAGGTAGCCAATACCAGGGGCTGGTGTGCTCTGCACAGGTAACCATTACTAGGGGCCAGTGTGCTCTGCACAGGTAGCCATTACCAGGAGTTGGTGTGCTCTGCACAGGTAGCCATTACCAGGGACTGGCGTGCGCTGCACAGGTAGCCATTACCAGGGGCTGGTGGGCTCTGCACTGGTAGCCATTACCAGGGGCTGGTGTGCGCTGCACAGGTAGCTATTAACAGGAGCTGGTAGGCTCTGCACTGGTAGCCATTAACAGGGGCTGGTGTGCGCTGCACAGGTAGCCATTACCAGGGGCTGGTGGTCTCTGCACTGGTAGCCATTAACAGGGGCTGGTGGTAGCCATTACCAGGGGCTGGTGTGCGCTGCACAGGTAGCCATTACAAGGGGCTGGTGAGCTCTGCACTGGTAGCCATTACCAGGGGCTGATGGTAGCCATTACCAGGGGCCGGTGTGCTCTGCACAGGTAGCCATTACCAGTAGCCGGTGGGCTCTGCACCATTACCAGGGGCCGGTGTGCTCTGCACAGGTAGCCATTACTATGGGTCGGTGTGCTCTGCACAGGTAGCCATTACCAGGGGTTGGTGTGCTCTGCACAGGTAGGCATTACCAAGGGCTGGCGTGCGCTGCACAGGTAACCATTACCAGGGGCTGGTGGGCTCTGCACAGGTAGCCATTACCAGGGGCTGGTGGGCTCTGCACTGGTAGCCATTACCAGGGACCGGTGTGCTCTGCACAGGTAGTCATCACCAGGGGCCGGTGTTCTCTGCACAGGTAGCCACTACCAGGGGCCGGTGTGCGTGGCACAGGTAGCCATTACCAGGGGCCTGTGTGCGCTGCACAGGTAGCCATTACCAGGGGCCGGTGTTCTCTGCACAGGTAGCCATTACCAGGGGCCTGTGTGCGCTGCACAGGTAGCCATTACGAGGGGCTGGTGTGCTCTGCACAGGTAGCCATTACCAGGGGCCGGTGTTCTCTGCACAGGTAGCCATTACCAGGGGCTGGTGTGCTCTGCACAGGTAGCCATTACCAGGGGCCGGTGTTACCAGGTATGCTCTGCACAGGTAGCCATTACCAGGGGCCGGTGTTATTTGCACAGGTAGCCATTACCAGGGGCTGGTAGGCTCTGCACAGGTAGCCATTACCAGGGGCCGTTGTGCTCTGCACAGGTAGCCATTACCAGGGGCTGGTGTTCTCTGCACAGGTAGCCATTAGCAGGGGCTGGTAGGCTCTGCACAGGTAGCCATTACCAGGGGCCGTTGTGCTCTGCACAGGTAGCCATTACCAGGGGCTGGCGTGCGCTGCACAGGTAGCCATTACCAGGGGCCGGTGTGCGCTGCACAGGTAGCCATTACCAGGGGCCAGTGTGCTCTGCACAGGTAGCCATTACCAAGGGCCGGTGTGCTCTGCACAGGTAGCTATTACCAGGGGCCGGTGTTCTCTGCACAGGTAGCCATTACCAGGGGCCGGTGTTCTCTGCACAGGTAGCCATTACCAGGGGCCGGTGTTCTCTGCACAGGTAGCCATTACCAGGGGCTGGTGGGCTCTGCACAGGTAGCCATTACCAGGGGCCGGTGGGCTCGGCACAGGTAGCCATTATTGGATGCTGGTGGTTTTATTTACATTGCACTCACTCTCTCCCACTCACTCACTCTGTAACTCACAGACTCTCTCTCTCACATGCCCCTTCTGTCTCTCTCTCCCTCTCTGTGTCTCTCTCTTCCTCTCTATCTAGATATAGAAAGGAGACAATATATACAATAACCACATCTACAAATATATAAAAGTAGAAAGAATAAGATAATAAAATAATATAATAGTTTGGTATTGAATGGTCTGCCGGTAATGTCCAGAATGAAATGAGAATTTAGTTATTACCGGTTAATTGAATATCGGGAATCTTTTGAAGTGAAATGGTTTATAGATTATTCTTTATATAAGATGCAGATTTATTTAATTTTTACAATTTTTTTATTGATCTGATATTTTAATATGTAATATTAAAAGTGAATAGTCTCTCTGTGTAGCTGTCTAGATACAAAAAATAGAGAATAGATAGAAATATCAATATAAAGTCTCTCTCACTGTCTCTCTCTCACACACACTGCCCCTCTCTCTCTCACTCTCTCTCACACACACTGCCCCTCTCTCTCTCACTGTCTCTTTCACACACACTGCCCCTCTCTCTCTCACTGTCTCTCTTTCTCACACACACACTGCCCCTCTCTCTCTCACTGTCTCTCTTTCTCACACACACACTGCCCCTCTCACAGTCTCTCTTTCTCACACACACTGCCCCTCTCTCTCTCACTCTCTCTTTCTCACACACACTGCACCTCTCTCTCTCACTGTCTCTCTTTCTCACACACACTGCCCCTCTCTCTCTCACTCTCTCTTTCTCACACACACTGCACCTCTCTCTCTCACTGTCTCTCTCTCCTCTCTCTCTCACACACACACTGCCCCCTCTCTCTCCTGTCTCTCTTTCTCACACACATTTGCCCCTCTCTCCTGTCTCTCTTTCTCACACACTGCCCTCTCTCTCTCTCACTGTCTCTTTCTCACTGCCCTCTCTCTCTCACTATCTCTCTTTCTCACACACATTGCCTCTCTCGCTGTCTCGCACGCACTGCCCACTCTCTCTCTCTGCTGTCTCTCTCTCACACACCTGCCCTCTCTCTCTCACTGTCTCTCTTTCTCTCACACACTGCCCCTCTCTCTCTCACTATCTCTCTTTCTCACACACATTGCCCCTCTCTCTCTCACTGTCTCTCTTTCTCACACACACTGCCCCTCTCTCTCACTGTCTCTCTTTCTCTCACACACACTCCCCCTCTCTCTCCTGTCTCTTTTCCTTTGCCCCTCTCTCCTGTCCTCTCTTTCTCACACACCTGCCCCTCTCTCCTGTCTCTCTTTCTCTCACTTGCTGCCCTCTCTCTCTCATGCTCTTTCTCCTCCCGCACACACTGCCCTCTCTCACTTTCATCTCTCTCTCCACACACCTGCCTCTCTCTCACTGTCTTTTTCTCTCACACACTGCCCCTGTACCTCTCACTGTCTCTCTCTCACACACGGCCCCCTCTCTCTCTCACTGTCACTCTCTTTCTCTCACACACACACTGCCCCTCTCTCTCTCACTGTCTCTCTTTCTCTCACACACACACTGCCCCTCTCTCTCTCACTGTCTCTCTTTCTCTCACACACACTGCTCCTCTCTCTCTCACTGTCCCTCTTTCTCACACACACGGCCCCTCTCTCTCAGTGTCTCTCTTTCTCTCACATACACTACCCCCCTCTCTCTCTCTGTCTCTCTCAGTCACACCCTCCCTCTCTCACATAAGACAGTCTCTCTCTCTTTGTCCCATACACTCACTCTCTTTCCCTGTCTCACTCACTCACTCTCACACACACACACACACACACTCACCTTCTCTGTCACATACACACTCTCTCTCGCTGTCTGGCTCACACAAACACACTCTCTTTCTCTCCCTGTCTCTCTTACATACACTCTCTCTCTATAACATACTCTCTTTTTCTCTCTCTCTCTCTCTCACTTTCTATCTTTACCTGTATCTCTCACATATACATATCTGTAACATACACACTCACACAATTTCTTTCTCTCTGTCACATTTTCTCTCTCATGCACTCTCTTTCTCTCTCTGTCACATACTCTCTGTGTCTTTCTCTGACTCTCGCTCTCTCTGTCGAATACACATTCTCTCTCTTTCTCCATTTCCTCTCCCTGTCTGTCTCACACACCCACTCTCTCTGTCTTCTTTATCTCTCTCTCTGTCACATACACTCTCTCACTCTTTCCTTGTCTCTCTCTAACACACACACTCTCTCTCTCTCTCTCTCTCTCTCTCTCTCTCTCTCTCTCTCACATACACACTCTATTTCCCAGTCTGTCACTGTCTATCTCTCATGGGCAGTCTCTCTCTCACATGCACACTCCCTCTCTCTGTCTCTCACACTCTCACCCCCCTGTAAGATGCTTTTGGAAGATACATGCAAAGTACATTATCTCCCCAGTAACCCTGCAGCATGCATCTTTCATAAGGAGAGCGGAGAGGTGTTTGTGTCTCGGTGGATGGACCCCTGGGGATAATGACTTGATACATTGACCTGCTGGGTGCCACCTTGTATCTGTCTCCCAGGCTGTGTCAGTGTCTGTTCAGGCTCAACAAATCCACCCCCCATGTCTATTTCTGTTTCCAAATCAAATGTATCCACATCCTTCTAACAGCCTCCCTGCACTGCTGGGGTGCTGGACTTTGCAGGACCCAGGCTGGGCAGAGGGGGTGAGTCCTGGGTGCCCACCTCTCCCCTCACTCAGTGCCTGGGGTGGGCAGGTCTGATAGGAGGAGTGTACTGCCCCCTCCCTGCCAGGAGCAGACACAGCTCACATACCAGCCAGAGCTTCCAGCAGGCACAGAGCCTTCCAGCAGGACATCCAGGGTCCACAGCTCTCCCAGGGGCATGTGTGAGATGAGACCAGCAGGCTGAGACCAGGAGTCTGAGAGGACTTGCAGGGTAGTGCTGGGGTCCAGTCTCCAGGTGAAGACCACAAGCAGGAGATGCCTGTACATGCCACCATGAGATTCTGCTTTGGAGAAGTTCTTCTTGTCCTCCTGTGGTCCTGTCTGGCTCCAGGTGAGTGGAAGAGCACGTCTTCTGTCTGAGATGATCTACTCACACTCAGGATGGAAAGTTTAAGGATGTTTGATGGCATCCTATCCTATGCCTGACATTCACAGGGCCATGCCAGTCAGTGTGGGCACACTGGGGTATAGTCAGATCATTATTGGATTGCTGGGCATTAATCTCAGCCCTGCACCTGGAACAGAACAGCTCAGCATGGCATCAGACAGAGAGTGAATGGGACAGGGTGGGCACAGAGGGGAATAGGGCAGGGTGGGTAGGTAAGGGGCAGAGAGAGGAAATGGGTCAGGAGAGACAGGTAAGGGGCAGAGAGAGGAAATGGGTCAGGAGAGACAGTCAAGGGGCAGAGAGAGAATGGGGCAGGAGAGAAAGGTAGGGGGCAGAGAGAGGGAATGGGTCAGGAGAGACCGGTAATGGGCAGAAAGAGAATGGGGCAGAGAGAAAGGTAAGGGGCATAGAGTGAATGGGGCAGACAGGTAAGGGGCAGGAGAGACAGGTAAGGTGCAGAGAGTGAATGGGGCAGACAGGTATGGGGCAGGAGAGACAGGTAAGGTGCAGAGAGTGAATGGGCAGAGAGTGAATGGGGCAGAGAGACAGGTAAGGTGCAGAGAGTGAATGGGGCAGACAGGTAAGGGGCAGGAGAGACAGGTAAGGTGCAGAGAGTGAATGGGGCAGACAGGTAAGGGGCAGGAGAGACAGGTAAGGTGCAGAGAGTTAATGGAGCAGGAGAGACATTGCTCTGTTTTGGAGGATGGCGCAGGTACTGATAACTGAAAAGTATGAGCTGGATGGAGGGATGAGGCAGGTGTGCGATAGGACAGAGACTATGTAAGAACTATCAATATAGCTAAATAATAAGATCAATAAAGGTACAAACACTGCAATGTCCAAAAATAGTGTATTGGGTTTGGCTGCCAGTTATTTCCAATAAGCCCCAACACATATAAAGGTGGATTTCATGCTGAGGGGGTTTATTGACCAGGATAAGCCTGTATCTCCATCAGACAGGACTGGGGGCTATCTACTAACAGATAACAGCTGCTTCTGGCCAGATAAGATAGGGTATATTTATAGGGCAGGTTACAGGGCAAAGCTTGGCATACACTATTGGCAGACTGTGTGTGGTCAGGGCAGGTGACCAATAAATACATTTACCGAACAAGCTCCTAAAATATCTCTTTCAATCTCCCCCTCTCTCACTGTCATTTTGGGACTGATTTTCAATCCTGTTTTGCAGTTTCCCTAATACTTTCTAGGCAGGGGATAAAACAAATCCTTCATCATCTTGCCCCCAGTCTAGTGGCGTGTATGACTTGGGACCCCACGCACACTTGTTTTTTTTTAAAGGAGCCTCTCCCTGAGGCACTGGGTTTAATAAGAGGAGCTTATTATAGGAAGCACTGGGGACATTGTGGCTGAAATTAGATTTTTAAGTTGAAAATGAAATGTTGATTCTATGCGTCATGTTTACAGATTCAGGTTCCCCCCCTCCCAAAGCAGGAAACAAAGCTGTGATACCCCAAACATCATGGAGGGTCTGCTACTTCAGGGGGGATCTGTAACATTAGTGGGGGAGGCTTATGTCTTCATGGAGATTTGTGACTTTAGTGGGTAGGCTTACATCTTCATGGGAGATTGCGTCTTCATAGGGGGTCCGCGACTTCATGGTATGGAAATGCGACTTCATGGGGGGGGGGGGTTTACATCTTCATCATAGTCTGTGACTTTATGGGGGGCTTATATCTTCACGGAAGTGTGCGACTTTATGGGGGGTTTATGTCTTCATGGGAATCTTCATTGGACAACCTGCGACCTCATGTAGGGTCTGTGACTTAATGATGGGTCTTGACTTCATTGGAGGGGCTTACGTCTTCATGGGGGCCAGCAAACCTCATGGGGGTCTGCGACTTATTATAGCTTACATTGTCCTGTTCAGATCAAGTGTTAATAATTTGTAGTAAATGTACCCTGTATAGTGAATTATTACATTAATAAAGGCTGGGTTTATTCCCTAAACTGAGCATTATGGAGAATAAGCAAGGGACTGTCGTTTTATTTAGATATATATATATATATAAAAAAACAAAATTGCTTCTGCACTCACACTTTAACGTCCCTCAGTAGCCGGGTGCCAACCAAAAAAACAGCTTCAACATCCAAGGAATATGAGTAAATGGCTGCACTCACGTATTAAAAGTCCAAAATTTAATGATAAATAGTTAAAAAATCCAAGATCAACGTTTCAGTCACCACAGACTTTCATCAGGATCATATATATATAGTGTACATGAAGGTACGTATGGAAATGTATATGTGTCTAGATATTTATATATAAATTGTATGTATTGAGCTGTATACGTGTGCAGGTGTTATTTATGGTGCACATGTAGGCATGTGTATATGTGTGTAGATGTTTGGTGTACATGTTAAGGAATGTGGTGGGTATGCAGGTATTTACGGAGGGATGTATTGTTTGTCTGTGTAACTGTATGCAACATCGCATGTTTATACCTTATAAATGAGTATATTTATGTAAGCATATAGAGTAATGTGTGCAAATTTATAGCTAGATTTTATGTTTGTATGTGTATAGGTATGTGCTATGAGTGTGTATGTATGCTGGTTTTAGGCTGTCTTAAGGAGTCGAGGATAAGCACCCCCCCCCTCTACCATCACACTCATACACACACAGCCACATACATAGACACACACAGTCACATACATAGAGAAACACACACAGGCACAGATTCACATACATAGGCACACACACAAAGTCATAAAATGATCAATGATCAAACCTCCCTCTTCTCCCTCAATTTGTGGTGTCTAGTGGTGTGGAAGTGTGTGTATATGTTTATATATGGGGGGTGAGTGTATATATATATATATATATATATTCTTTAGCTGTGAATGCGTGTATGTGTGTCTAACTCTATATGTATATGTGTGTATATATATCTATATTAAATAGTTTATGTATGAATAGGCTAGCACTCACTGTCTTTTGTAGATAAAAGTTCCACACTTTATTGAAAATAGTTAAAACATGTGGATCGACGTTTCAGTCCCCGTCCGAGACTTTCCTCAGGATCATAGACCCTGAACTATTTGGATATTAAGCCCTTGGCTTACAGCACCCGGCAAAATAACGTGGAGGCTAGAGTGCAAGTAATTTCAAGGACTATATATATATAAATATTATTATTTTATTTTTTATATAGCACCAGCAAATTCTATAGCACTGTACAATGGGTGGACTAACACACATGTAATTGTAACCAGACAAATGGACGCATAGAAACAGGTTTCTGTTGAGGGCCCTGCTCAGTGAGCTTACATGCTAGAGGGAGTGGGGGCAATGAAATAGGTTGCTAGAAAAGTATTCACTGAGAACTTAGTAGGTTATTTTTGACAGTTGCAGGAGAGGAGTCATGGGGGGAATGAGAACCCACTAACTGTTAAATTATATGCTTTTCTGAAGCAGCGATTTTAAAGATTTTTTGAAGGAGTGGAGACTGGGTGAAAGTCTAACGGAGAAGGGAAGGGAAGGTGCAGCCCTGGAGAAGTCTTGGAGGTGAGCATCAGATGTGGGAGTACGGACAGAGGATAGGTGTAGGTCCTCGGCAGAGCGCTAGGGCGTCGACAGGTCATACTTGTGTATTAGGGAGGATAGGTAGGTTGGAGCAGCATTATGCATCGAGTTTAAGGAAGTGAGCAGCCATCTAGTTGGAAATTGCAGAGAGGCAGTCAGAGGCACGAGTCAAGATGGGCGGAGAGAGATCATGTGAGGACGGGTAGATTTGTGTGTTATCTGCATATAAATGATAATGGAAGTCAAAGGAGCTGATGAGTTTACCAAGGGAGGCAGTGTAGACTGAGAACAATAGGGGACCAAGGACAGAACCTTGGGAAACGCCAACAGAGAGGAGTTGGGGAGAAGAGGCAAAGCCAGAGAAAGAAACACTGAAAAAGCGCTGGGAGAGGTAGGAGGAGCACCACTAGAGAGCAGTATCTTGTAGACCGATATTACGGAGAATGAGAAGAAGCTGTTGATGATCAACAGTGTCAAAGACAACAGAAAGATCAAGGAGAATTAAAATAGAGTAATAGCCGCGAGATTTAGCAGCGATTAAATCGTTGGATACTTTGGTCACAGCTGTTTTAACAGAGTGCGGAATCCAGACTGAAGCAGGGCCAAGTAGAGAGTTGGATTCCAGGAAGTCTGTCAATCTCGCATACACAACTCTATCAAGGATCTTGGAGGCAAATGGCAGTAGCGATATAGGGCGGAAGTTGGATGGGGAGTTGGGGTCAAGGTTGGGCTTTTTCAGAATCCGCATTATGGTTGCATGCTTGAAGGGTTAAGGAAATGTGCCAGAAGAAAGGGATAGATTGAAAATTTTAGTGAGAGGAAGAACAAGAGAGGGAGACAGAGTGCGGATGAGATATGAGGGCATAGGATCGAGGGAACAGGTGGTGGGGCGGGAAGACCAGAGCAAAAAATTATTCCGTTGTAGTATGTGTGAATGGGCATAGAACAGCAGGGGGAGTGGGGTTGAGTGATGTATTGGAAGGGGAGGGAGAGAAATTAGAGATCTCTTCCCTGATTGTAGAAATGTTCTCAGTGAAGTGATGTAAAATCTAGTTTGGAATCGTCAACGTTAAATCTTCTTAATTTCTTCTTCTCTTCAGTTGATTGATATATAAGCCTTTTGTATATAGTCTTGGGCCAAATTTGCTCGCCACATTAATATATGTCTATATTAATGAAAAGTACTAATACGCAATCTGACTTACGGTTTCTTCAGGTTTATTCTTAGTTACTGATACATAATAAAACAACAAAGGATGTTACAGGATAATAGATGTTCAACAGCAGATGGTAATTGCTGGACTTCTGACTGGAGAGTTACATCCTTACATCTCTACATCAAGAGAGAGCCAGAGAGCGAGAGACCTCATGTTCAGTTACTATATAGATATGACCATAATGACGTCAGACTATAACTCTATCCATATAAGGACAAAAACCCCAACTTACATTCCAGAGTTCTCAGACGAAGAAAGTCTTGTGACTTATACCATCTGTTACTTATGTCAATCCACACATCCATATATAATCAATAGAAACATAGAATATTTATTTATAAAATATTTTACCAGGAAAGATACATTGAGATTTCTCTCATTTTCAAGTATGTCCTGGGGAAAAGGGGAAAAACAGACAGAGACAACAGACAGAGACACAGAGGGTAGAATATGCAATATTTTGAGGCCATATAGTGTGTGTGTGTGTGTGTGTGTATATATGTATGTATTTTGTGTGTGTGTGTATGTATGGGGTTATATATATATATTTGTGATATGTGATTGTGTTTGTACATTTTGTATAATTTTGTTATCTCTCCTCCTTGAATTGCTCTCTGCACTATGTTTTCCCATCACTCTCTGATAGTAATACAGAGATTTTAGGACATTCTTGAAGAATTACATCTAGTTTCTCCTGTTTTTTTTCTTACCCTCTGTCTCTGTCTATTTTATGTTTTCTTTCTCCCTCTGTGTCTCTGTTATATCCTCTTTTTGCCTACTGTGTCTCTGTTTTTTTCTGTTTTCTCCTACCCTTTGTGTCTGTCTTTTTTCTGTTGTTTTCTTCCACCCTCTGTGTCTCTGTCTGTTTTCTCCTCTTTTCTCCTACTTTGTGTCTCTGTCTGTTTTTCCCCTTTTCTCCTACTCTCTGTGTCTCTGTCTGTTTTCTCCTCTTTTCTCTTACTCTCTGTGTCTCTGTCTGTTTTTCCCCTTTTCTCCTACTCTCTGTGTCTCTGTCTGTTTTCTCCTCTTTTCTCCTACTCTCTGTGTCTCTGTCTGTTTTCTCCCCTTTTCTCATACTCTCTGTGTCTCTGTCTGTTTTCTCCTCTTTTCTCCTACTCTCTGTGTCTGTCTGTTTTCTCCTCTTTTCTCCTACTCTCTGTGTCTCTGTCTGTTTTTTTCCCTTTTCTCCTACTCTGTGTCTGTCTGTTTTCTCCCCTTTTCTCATACTCTCTGTGTCTCTGTCTGTTTTATCCTCTTTTCTCGTACTCTCTGTGTCTCTGTCTGTTTTCTCCTCTTTTCTCCTACTCTCTGTGTCTGTCTGTTTTTTCCCCTTTTCTCCTACTCTCTGTGTCTCTGTCTGTTTTCTCCTCTTTTCTCCTACTCTCTGTGTCTGTCTGTTTTCTCCTCTTTTCTCCTACTCTCTGTGTCTGTCTGTTTTTTCCCCTTTTCTCCTACTCTCTGTGTCTCTGTCTGTTTTCTCCCCTTTTCTCATACTCTCTGTGTCTCTGTCTGTTTTCTCCTCTTTTCTCGTACTCTCTGTGTCTCTGTCTGTTTTCTCCTCTTTTCTCCTACTCTCTGTGTCTGTCTGTTTTTTCCCCTTTTCTCCTACTCTGTGTCTCTGTCTGTTTTCTCCTCTTTTCTCATACGCTCTGTGTCTCTGTCTGTTTTCTCCTACTCTCAGTGTCTCTGTCTGTTTTCTGTATGTAAACCCCTATCTATCAGTGAATCTGGAAGATAGAGAGTGTCCTGCTCTGTACGTGAAGTAGTGGTGGCAGGGAGCAGCATCTGAGAGACCCAGGTAAAAAGTCAAACCGTTCTAAACTGGTTTGACTACTTACAATGAGTCTATTTCAGGGAACTGCTTGCACCATAAACACTACATTGGTATACCTTTTGGTGCTCTGAGTGTTCTTTTAACTTTTGTAGGGAATGTATGAAATGAAACACAGCAGCTTAGTATAAACTCGGTATTTTTTAATAAGGTATTGGATTATTACAAATAAATAAGAATAAAGAAAATGTCCAAAAAATAAGCTTTTCATTTTATTTCACACAAGTCATTGTCAATCCCAATTATTAGAGATTTTCTTATCATCTTGGCATTGTATCGAATAGAATGGTCTATTTACCAATTCTGGGCATTTTATAAAATTCCTGATCAATGCTGGTATCTGCCTATGTATGTAACGCCCAGGCTTTACAGGAAACACAGAGTAAATGGGGCATTCTGTGCCAAGCTTTACAGGAAACACAGAGTAAACGGGGCATTCTGTGCCAGGCTTTACAGGAAACACAGAGTAAATGGGGCATTCTGTGCCAGGCTTTACAGGAAATGCAGGGTAAACGGGGCATTCTGTGCCAGGCTTTACAGGAAGCACAGGGTAAACGGGACATTCTTTGCCAGGCTTTACTATAAACGCAGGGTAAACGGGGCATTCTGTGCCAGGCTTTACAGGAAACACAGAGTAAACAGGGCATTCTGTGCCAGGCTTTACTAAAAACGCAGGGTAAGCAGTTGAAGATTCTGTTATATGTTCAATATTCCCAGCACGCTTAACTCAACCTTTTTATCTTTCCAAAGTGTATAAAGTGGTGAATAATAAAATTAATTTCCAGAGGTATCTTGCGAAAATTAACGTAAGCAAAATCTACCTTTAACAGTTAAACGGCATTAAACTTATAATTAAATGACAGGAAATTAGTGCTTTAATGACATTAAACTTATCATTAAATGACATGAAATAATGGTTTAATGACATTAAACTTATCATGACTTGAAGTTTAAGAAAATTGGGAAAGAACATTAGTGTTTTCGTGAAACTCGTTGATGTGTGTGTTGATTTGATGTTATTCACCATTAAAGGTTTTGCTTGCGATTTATCAGTACTGTGATAAACCCACTCAGCCCCCAGCCATTGACAGCTTGTCACGCAGACCCCGGCCCCCTCGATCCTGTTCAATAAAGATTATACAAGTGGATGACTCTGCAAAGATTGTGTCGATCATGGGATGTTTGGCTGTTAAGCGCCTGTAATCCTCATGACTATGTATTGCATCTTCCAGCGTTGTCCTTGACGCGGTAGCAGCATTGTGTGATTACTATAGAAATGATATTAGTAGTTGCTATGCAGAAATCTCTGCTATGTCCATTATTGATGGAATAGAAATCCCACAAACAACGTCTTTGAACGTGCAGAGAATGTGTATGATTTACCCCCCGTGCTGATATCCTGGGTATCTACACAAACAACAGGTCTGGGGCAAAGCACTCAAAGTGGAGCAAATCGGCAGCATCATTCTACTGGTTTCCATGGTAACTGCTCCAGCAACAGACCAATTAGCAGAAATATTCTGCTGGTTTCCATGGTAATGGCTGCACCTTTAGAACTTTAACCCAGAGTCTCTTTTATAGAACTCCCAGTCTGTGTCAGGGGTTAAAAGGACTGTGTAGGTTAAACCGTATTTCATGCTAAATGAAAGTCCGCTGCAGCCCATCGATGGAATGGAGAGAGAGCGCCAGAGGACTCCGGGTACTATAACCACTTCATTGAGATGGAATGGTTACACAGTGAATGGAGGGACAGTTCCAGGGGCCTCTGGGCACCATAACCACTTCAATTAGATGGAATGGTTTGACACTGCAGCGAGAGACAGCGCCAGGGGATTTCAGGCACCCTAACCACGTCAATGAGATGGAATGGTTTAACAGCAAATGGAGGGACAGCGCCAGGGGACTCCGGGTACTATAACCAATTTAAAGGAACACTATAGTCACCTAAATTACTTTAGTGTATAGATTTTAGTGTATAGATCATTCCTCTGCAATTTCACTGCTCAATTCACTGTCATTTAGGAGTTAAATCACTTTGTTTCTGTTAATACAGCCCTAGCCACACCTCCCCTGGCTATGATTGACAGAGCCTGCATGAAAAAAAGAAAAACTGGTTTCACTTTCAAACAGATGTAATTTACCTTAAATAATTGTATCTCAATCTCTAAATTAAACTTTAATCATACAGGAGGCTCTTGCAGGGTCTAGCAAGCTATTAACATAGCAGGGTATAAGAAAATCTTAATTAAACAGAACTTGCAATAAAGAAAGCCTAAATAGGGCTCTCTTTACAGGAAGTGTTTATGGAAGGCTGTGCAAGTCACATGCAGGGAGGTGTGACTAGGGTTCATAAACAAAGGGATTTAACTCCTAAATGGCAGAGGATTGAGCAGTGAGGCTGCAGGGGCATGTTCTATACATCAAAACTGCTTCATTAAGCGAAAGTTGTTCAGGTGACTATAGTGTCCCTTTAAGTCTGATTAAATATTTCTGGATAAGATTTTCAAATGATTTAATATTTTGGATAAACTTTAAATATTATTTAGTTTTTTGAAATGTAAATATATTTTTTTATTTATTATATTTTACTTAATTTTATGATATTTTCATATTGTATATACAATCAATATTGAATCAAGTTGAAATGCCTACAGTTCCCCTTTAAAAGAACACTAGAACGTTAGGAATATAAATGTGTAATCCTTACATTATAGAGCTTTAGTCATTATTTAGGTGATGCCCACACCCTCCATAAGGTGTAAAAAAAATTCCCACACCGTGCTACTCCCTGCAGCTGGCCCCGCCCCCTTGATGAGTCTGAGATCATCGAGATTGATAATCTCAGCAAATCCAATGCTTTCCCACCGCATTGGGAGGCTAGTGGGCATGTGCAGTAAAACAAACCATCTGAGAGAAATGCAGGTTTTACTTGGCTATTTAGTTGGAAACTCCTTAAGTGCCTGTCTGAGTGACAGCCATTAGTGGCATTTAAACCCTAGGCATTGCCATTCCTGCAAAGAAATGCTGGGTTAAAACAAGAAGGACATTGAGATTAAGTGTCTGGGTACCTTTAGTGCCCCTTTAAGCCTATCTGGACTGTTATACAGGCTTTGAACCCCCAAATCACACATCTATTCTGTTTCAAAATACAAGGTTTAATCCATTAATTTACCAACTCTGCCTAAATGCCACTAAGTGACCATACCTTAAAAAAAAATCCCACTGAGCATACTAAGCATTGGCTTTATGTTTTATTTACGCAAGTCCAAACGGCCCAGAACTGAATGGAGCTAGACCATTCGGCTGCATATGGGGCCATTTGGACTGCAACGCGGCATGACATCATCAGTGACCTGCAGCAGGGCATGCCATAATCAGTGTCCTGTAACACGGCATGACATCATCAGTGACCTGTAACACAGCATGACATCACCAGTGGCCTTTAAAAAGGCATGACATCATCAGTGGCCAGTACCATGGCATTACATCATCAGTGGCCTGTAACACGGCATGACACCATCAGTGGCCTGTAACACCCATGACATCATCAGAGGCCTGTAACACGGCATGACATCATATGTGGCCTGTAACACGGCATGACATCATCAGTGGCCTGTAGCAGGGCATGACATCATCAGTGGCCAGTATCATGGCATGACATCATCAGAGGCCTGTAACACTGCATGACACACACGGCATGACATCATCGGTGGCCTGTAACACGGCATGACATCATCAGTGGCCTGTAACGTGACATGACATCATCGGAGGCCTGTAACACGGCATGACATTGTCGGTGTCCTGTAACATGGCATGACATGATTGGTGGCCTGTAACACGGCATGACTTAATCAGTGGCCTTCAACACGGCGTGAAATCATCGGAGGCCTGTAACATGGCACGACATCATCGGTGGCCTGTAACGCGGCATGACATCATTGGAGGCCTGTAACACAGCTTGACATTATCAGTGGCCTGTAGCATGGCATGACATCATCAGTGCCCTTTAACATGGTATGACATCATCGGAGGCCTGTAACATGCCATGACATCATCAGTGGCCTGTAACACGGCATGACATCCATGGTTTGTACCACAGCATTATATAATCAGTGTCATGTGCCACAGTGTTCCCACACGCTCTAATTCCAGGACTCCTGCAGTTAAAACACATTGTTTACTTCGTGACCCACTGATTTCATACACAGCTGCTATTTCTCATTGAACAGTAAATATTTCCATGTGCGTGGTAGTTACCCATTGTTAATACCTGCTATTATCTGTGTTTCTGCAGCGTGCTGCCCACCTCTCATTATCCTGGGTTGTGGAGTATAATTGCAGTTGGAAATATTCCATATAATTAATTTTCTAATTAGTTCATACACAGTCACCAT